GATAGAACACCAGCAGCCTTGAGTGAAAAGCCAAGGGCTCTGAGTTCAAGCCCCAATACAAGCTATATACGTGTGTGTGTGCGCGCGCGTGTGTTTTGTCAGTTGTGGGGCTTGAACTCTAGGTCTGGGACTGTCTCTGAGCTCTTTGTACTCAAGGCTTGCTCTCTATGAGCCACAGCACAACTACTGTTTTGGGTTTTTTTGGTCAGTCCTGGGGCTTGAACTCAGGGCCTGGGGGCTGTCCCTGAGCTTCTTTTGCTCAAGGCTAGTACTCTACCACTTGAACCATAGTGCCACTTTCAGCTTTTTCTGTTTATGTGGTACTGAGGAATTGAACCCAGGGCTTCATGCATGCTAGGCAAGCACTCTACCACTAAGCCACATCCCAGTTCACATCTGTTTTTTGTTTTTTTTTGAAAAGTTAATTGGAGATAGTCTCGCAGAGATTCTTCTTTCCAGGGCTTTGAACCACGATCCTCAGCTCTGTCTCCTGAGTAGCTAGAATTATAGGTGTGAGCCATGGGTGCCTGGTTAGTAAAATATATTTTAAATATATTTTATTAAATTTACATTTACATTAAATTTATATTTATTGTATTTAGATATACTTATATTGAATTTATATTAAATAATATATTAAATATATATTAAAATGTATTTACTTCATTAACTTACTCATTTGCATTTGAAATGAGTTATACAAAACTCAGTGCTTGGGGGCTGGGAAGGTGGCTCAGTGGTAGAGCACTTGCCTTGCATGCCTGAGGCCCTGGGCTCGACTCCTCAGCACCACATAAGCAAAAATAAATAAATAAAAGCTGGAAGTAGTGCTGTGGCTCAAGTGGTAGAGAGCTAGCCTTGAGCTGAAGAGCTGAGGGACAGCGCCCAGGCCCAGAGTTCAGGCCCCACAACCGGACCCAAAAAAAACCCAAAAAACTCAGTGCTTACATAAGCACAACTTTTGGATGAAGATCCGAAACTTTTGGAGCCTTTGCATTTCAGCCTGCTTGCTACCATGACAACACAACAGATCAGCTTTAGACCATCTCATCAATCTTGTAGATGCTGTAATCAGGACACAGAGGTGTCTGGGCCTTATCTGGGGATACTTAAAGGCTAGGGGTACAACCCATTCATTCCCTTCTGGAGCACAATGGTGGCTGACACTGGTTCGTGGCGGGAACCTCACCAATAGCTCTTGGTTTGTATATCTATGTACACTGGGCCTTGCTAGGTAGGGGGTTAGCATGGCATGATGGGTAGGTCCAGGAACAGGAGGCAGAACCTCTGTTTATCATCTGAATCCACAAGCTTGCATGACATCATTTCTACCACAATCTATGTTGAAGCAGTCATACAGCTCATACCCAAGGAGAGAGGACACTGACACATAATGATGCATTGAAGTTCAGGGAGTAAGGTAACAAACTCCCACAGATTCTGAGGCTGGGTCAATCTACCACATTGGACTTTCTGATCCAAAATACATGAAGATTTATGTGTATCTACAAACCCTGTTTCTTGAGCTCTGCAAAGCCCTTTACGTGTATCAAGACACCATTCTCCTGGATTCCCAGTAGCCTTTAATTTTCCATTTCTAGATTGCATTAAAAGACTCCTTTCTCTGGAGCTGCCCAACCCATACACAGGCCTAGGATTTTAGGTGGGTGAGCCTCCCACCAGGGCACTACCAGGCCACCTTTCCAACCCCTTCCTGCTCTTGTCTGAGGGTGAGAAAGAGGGAAGTGAGCAACAAGCTGGGGGAAGTGGTCTAAATGGTTTTGGTGAGGTAGTCTGGTCACCAGAAGTCGTGGTTGTGCCTACACAGCACTGGCTGGCTGTGTTCTGCCTGGAAGGTCCCAGGCATGAACCTGGAGTTAGAGGTATCCAGGATAGGGAAGAACTGGAAGTCATTATCTACCAGGATAATGAAGGGTTCCTTAAACCATAGAACAGTAGCAAAAGCAGAAAGAAACCCAAGTGTCTTCATCTCTGTGACTGATTGTCAGGAGGAAAGAGTTGAGGTACTGTGCTGCTGCAAAGGCTGAACAAGAACCAGCAAGTCATTGGCAGGAGGCAGGAAGAAGCTCCCCCAAGGCCATTTTGTAGCAGTGCAGGCGAGATGATCAGCACAGCAGAGAAGCTCTGGAGAACATGGCTGGACTTGTGGATCACTTGTGAAGGAAGGATGAAGGTGGCTATGTGTGGACTTGGATTGGCAAGGCTGGACATGTACAGTACCTTCTGTTTCCTGTTAGCTACTATGATATAAAATTATAAACTGTAGCATGTTTTTGATGAGGGGGTGAAATTACCCTATAAAGAGCTCCTGGTTGATGACTGGTTGATGACTGCCAACGTCCAGTCTCAGAGGGTATGATGGGAGTTTCACAAGGCTCCACCCTACCTATCAGCACCCCTTCCCACCAGCTCAACTGCTTGGAGATTAGCCAGTCTCTTCTAACTTCTGCACCACCTACCTCTCCCTGGCTGAGCCATCCATCCTGGAGAGCCTACAAAGGCCCGGTGGTATGGGCCACCTGACTACAGGGCTATGGTGCCAAAGACTCCAACCAATAACAGTGTGCCAAGCTCAAGCCACATCAAGGAGCCAGCTGGCTGGAACATTTATTAAGCTCTCCACTATGGCTTATAGGAATCTGGGAAGAAGTCACAAATGAACAATTACCCAGGGCTTTATTAACAAATTCAGAGAGGCAGTGCTGAAGCTCCCACTCCACTCCAAACAGCAGAAAGCAGGCAGAGGGGAGGCCAGGTGCTCATGGCTTTTCTACCAGCCACCAGGAGAGAAAGGGAGGCCAGAAAGGCAGGGCGGCCCCTCCTTCCTCTCAGGGCTGGGACTGAAACCATGTTTCATTGTGCTCCTTCTTCTTGTTCATCTTTTCCAAGTGCTTATGTCCTTGAGTGGGGAATGGAGAGAGGGGAGGGGAAGAACATGTCAGAAATCCTGTAAGGAGGATGGAAGGAAGATGCAGTCACAGCTACAGGCCCAGGGGCCAGCAGAAGCACCATGCACCCTGAGCTGGTGAGTCTGTCTCCTCCCCTAACCCCCAAAGCTCCAGAGCAGCCACGGAGATGCCCAAGAACCTTTCTTTACTTGACACTGCAGTGGCATGCTGGCATTTGAGAGAACACAGCCAGGTCTGGGATTCACCTCAATGCTGAGCTCTGTGGTGTCTAGGAGATCCAGACCATGCTCGCTGAGGGAGGAGGGGCTTCCAGGCTCCTAGAACGAATGGGTCAAAAATTAGAGTAGTCTCTGAACCCCTGTCATTGCCAATGGAAACATGGTTCCAGTTGAGTTCCAAAGAACAAGTCCCAGGGTCCCCCCCACGGTCCCCTCTCTCTTGGCCTGCTGAGTCCCTTAAAATTCATTCAGCTTTTGGAGCCAGAGGATGGGAATCTCCTTAGGACAGATCAAAGAGGTTTTGCTTCCTGGTCTCTGCTGTGACAATGGCATTGTTTGGATCTTCCTGAGCACAAGGCCATCCTCCCCCTGCTGTATCCCACCTTCTCCCATGCTCTCCTTCCCTCTCCCCAGAGCAGAACAGAGAGGAGCACAGATGATACATATTGTGCTGCAGACAGTGTCTGGAGCTCGTTCAGATCTGTATAATGAAATCCAACCACACAATGGTAAAATCAGCAGGAGGTAGGGTAGGGCCTTTGGGAGGTGGTGAGGTCAAAGGGATTAGTGCCTTTCTAAGAGGCCAGAGAGCTAGCTTGCTGTTTTCTACATGGGAGGACATGAAGCACTGACACTCTGAAGTGGCAGTTGCCCTCACCCGAGTTGGCTGTGCTGACCCTGCTCTCTATAGAATCAATGTATGTTGTTTATCAGCCACTAGGCTGTAGTGCTGTTATGGCAGTTCAGGCTGCCATAACATAAGGTACTTTCATCTTGGACTTTGTGTCAAGATGAGAAACAGGCTGAGAAGAAAGAGTAGATAACTTGATATAGAACTGAGGATTCATGTTTCAGTCACCTCACTCAAGCCCCAAGCTTTGCCTTTTGCAGCAAGTAGGAGAACCTTTTCCTGGAAGAACAGACAGCCAGGGCAGGGGGAACAGGGGTGGCAGTCTTAGGAGATAGCAGGGAAACAGGGCAGGGAAGGGGGTGGGAGAGGAAGTGTTGCAAGGGTGAACTGATGATCCTGAATTCCTGGCTGTAGGAAGAACTGAATTTTGAGAGGCTCAGACATAATACTTATTTGGGACTTAGGAGGTAGAGTGCTATTCCAAGTTTTTGCCATTTTTTAACTTATTTTCCTATTTCTTTCATAAAAGCAGAGTCCATGCCAAGTCTGCAATAACTCATCCCACTTTTCTTGTCCTTTGTGATTCTTTCCACGGCTGTCCTAAGCAGTGTTCTGAGAGAAGAACTGCCACATGCCTGTAGCCTATCAGCCCCAGGGTCTGAAGGATGAGAAGAATGCTGAGGGCACATACCTTGTCTGCATCTTGCCACTCCTCACTTGATTCATTCAGGATTCCTAGTTCTTCCTCATCCTCTTCCATCAGGCGGAGACTACCAGTAATGGCAAAAAGCAGGGGATTTCAAACTGTTATTTTAGGCCTAAGAGTTTCTCAGAGATACTCAGGAAATGATGAGAACCAAGCAGAGTTGGGCTCTAAGTTCCCAAACCTGCACCAGTGAGTACTTCTCTTTACACAGTAGAGCCGGCTCTAGACTGTGCTGGAAGAAAGGGTTCTAGGACTAAGGCAAATCCAAAAAGCACTGGCAGTTTCCTGCTCTGAGTTAGGTGAGAAGCTCTCAAAGTGACTGATGTGCAGTGTAGCCACAAGAGAATGGGAAACTCACCAAGTCAATGGGCTGTCCTGACCAGGACTTGGAAGGGCTGGTGGAACTCCAAAATACAGTGCACCTGAGTGCCTTGATTGTTGGGTTCTTGAGAGGGGCAGGCTGTTGAGAATGAAACAGGATCAGTGACAGGAGAAAAATAAAGGTAACACAACTCACTCCTGTAATCCTAGCTACTCAGGAGGCTAAGACCTGGAGGTCTGAAACCAATCTGGGCAAGACCGTCATCTTCAAAATAACCAACAAAAGGCCAGGCTTGAGGTATGGCTCAAGTGGCAGCCAGCCAGCAGTGAGCAATCAAGTTTACTTAATGCTTACTGGCACTGGCAAAAAATAAATAAAGGGTAAAAGAGGTAAGATGGCTAGTGTTAAAAACCAGAGTATGTGTGAAACTGTAAACTGTACTCCATGTTTATAACAACAACAAAAACAAAGAGTGCAAGAGAGACATTTTGAAGCTATAAAAGGGAAAAATGTAAGATCACCCAGGGTCCACAGTATGCTGCAGTGGGAACAAACAAATATAAACCAATCCTAAATCACAACAACAAACTGGGGACTAGCTGGTCTCCTTTCAGCCTCACCGGTAGACAAACTCCAGTCTTGAGCCATCTTCTTCTTCCTTCTTGCCCACTGTCACCAGCGGCTGCCTGTTTCTCAGCACCGTGGAAGTGAGGGTGGGTGTGGGCGGGACACTGCTCAGCTGCAGGCTCTCCTCCTGGGATGAGGATGTGGAGGATATGGAGGAGGTAGAGGGCGTGGAGGATGTGCTCTCTTCCTGAGAGGAGGAAGAGTCCTCTCTCTGATGCTGGTAGGAGCCTACAAGAAAACAGATGGGATCTGCCCTGTGCAGCTTTACTTTCCCAAGACCTACTCAGATTTGGTAAGGGAAAGTTAAGCAGAAGAAAATGGAAAACTCATATGGCCTGTCCTCCTCAAAATTGAGCAGAGTCCTGAATGCATAGCCCTGTGCTATGGAGTCCTACATACGGAACACACAACCCTGTGTATAGCTCTTCTTAAAAATAAATTAGGAG